AGGAAGCGCTGCGTGATCCGTGGGTGAGTCAGCATTGCGGCCCGTACAAGAAAGGCTTGAGGTCCTTAGCAGACGCGTTGGAAGAGGAAGAAAAAAAACAAGGGCGAGGTATAGGGCAGGGAAGAAAAGGCGGAGGTATAGCAGGAGGAGGAGGTGGGGGAGGAAATGTGTACGTGTACAGCGTCGTTGAGGATTGTTGTGACGTGGTGCAGTTGACTGGTGGACGCTTTGATCGGAGGTTTGAAGCGAGGGGCAGAGAAAAGGTAAAATAGATGGGTGTACATAGGTTTTCACTGTGTAATCAAGTAAACTTCGTAACAGCTGAAAGAAAATTCAAATGGGTAAGAAATTTGAATGATATTATTGCGAGGCACTGTTTTCTTTCCTTTCTATTAATGCACACGAAACATGAATATTGAGGAGCTTTTCGGCAAATGGTAAATCAAAAATACTCGAGAAGCACAGTGCAGGTGCCTTGACAAGGTGCTCCAGTCACGATAATTCTAGTAGATACTTTCTTCCGCTTATACACTGGACAAATCTCGATCGTAAAGCGAACGCATGCTGAAGCTTTTGGCCCATGGGACCTTTACAAAAATGTTTGAAAGCGGCATTATGAGCCTGACTCAAAAGGTTTCATTACATGTGTGCCAACAATCCCCGAGTACATAAATGTTTTTCTCGACTTGTATTATTAAGGAACAACCCAATATCGCAACACAGAAAAGAAAAGGGAAGCGAATCGATATTTTTCAACTGACCTCCCCGCCACTGATGCCCTGTCTCGTAGTACAGCTTTAATGGCGCAAATTTCCGATTTAATGAATACAGGAACGAAAGCACGAGATGAAACAGCAAATAACAGGCTCCCAAGGCAACCATAAGAGCATTATACCTCCAATACAGCATACTTCCTTGAAAAAGAACCCCTGGCGTCACTCGTGGAGTCCACTCAATGTCGATAAGCGAATCACATTCTTGTTTCATCCAATCTACTATATAGAGCAAACCTTCAGCAACCGTGCTCCCAGCACAGCCTCACCATCAACCTTGGAAATCTCTCTCGCCTTTTACTAGAGTAGATCCAGGTGGTGTGGCAACTGTCGCATTAACCGATTTTTGTGGCCTCTCGTAGGCAACCCCCCTCCAATCCTCCCCCCCCCCCAAACACCAACTCCCCGTCGTGAGGCCTGAGTTCTTGTATCAGAAAGTTCTGGCACTGCCTTTTTCTTGCGATGGGTTGTCATGTGGAGATCTTCGCCCACTTTATGAAGCTTGTGTGGAATGAAAGAAAATGTTTGAAATGTAAGGGGCAAGGGGTCGAAGGCGAAGAAGCAGCAACACTCTCAGTAATTGTCATCTCCCTTTCGAGGCCTTTTTGTCTGACATGCAAACCGTCAAGGAAAAAAAACGGATGACAGTGAAGGGAGGGAATACGCGCGTCCTGTCCGATGGGATAGAGCCTGAAATTTCACATTTTGTGCACGGTCTTGAATGCATATGGCTTAATGTGCGGTGAAATCATGTGCGGCAGAATCATATTTGCACAACAAGAATCGCACCAGCAGGTACTAATGGGCCGTATGATCAAATAAAGTTAGAAAATAGAGCAATGCATGTGTACAAGCGGACCTTAAAATGTGGTCAGCTGAGTCGGAAAAGATGTACTCAATGCGATTTCATGAGTATCCAAGAATTGGCTTTTCACTTGACGTCGTTTTATTCCCCTCCTGCTTTTCATTATCGGGCGACATGGTTTTCTAAGTCACAAAACACGCAATGATCTTAATTTGCCATGATGCAACATTTTTATGATACCCTGCATTGCGCTTCCTCCTACTGCTCCACTAGCATCCCCCAAAATGCGAATTTATTAACAGGTACCATACGCAACTTGTCCTCTTATTATATTCCAGCGTATCAAGATCTGACATGCCAAGACATCATGCTCTCGTTTAAAATTCGCTGATGTGAAGAGGTCGGCGTCCTTTCTACACTTCAGATGGGTTGTCCGGGTAGGACACAGACCAGTGTCAGTCCTCAAACAATTTACCTTCTGGTCCGTCCATTATCAAACAGTTCGTGTCTTGACGCACCCCTCCGCTACACTGTTCCCTCACATCCATATCTTGTACGCCCTTTGTCCCTGCGTTGTCATACTCATTCCTACCCGTTTCAAATGGGCGAGAGAAAGCAAGATGGTCTTGGAGAGATCACCTTGGGCTATAATTTCGGTGACTTGATCGAGGGGCAGGGCTTGTACCCCTGATTTGCCTCCATGTTGCTTCCCCTTCATGTGGGAATTAAAGACCTTGATGGCATCGTTCAGCATTTCCCTAGTAACCTGGATCTGGATGAAGCTGGGCGCCCGGGCAAATTCCTCCTCAGGGACTTCCGGAATGGGCCGGCACGGCTGTGGCCCCGCCTTGTCAGGTCCTGCCTCCACCTCGGCCTCGACATCGGCCGCAAAGAGACTTTGCCTCTTCCCCGATCCCACCTTGGCCGTGGCCTGATAGGCAGCGGTCACTTCCCGTTCCAATGTGGAGCGGGCAATCCGAGGGGATTTGCGGGTATGCGTTGTGGAGCTGGCTGGCATGGGAGAAGCTGCTGGCACGGCAGGCGATGATGCGAAAGGCTTCGCAGACGGCGCACGGGTCATTATTTCCTGCTTTCCTTCGCCTTCGTTCGCCGACTGCCCCGCACTATCTGATACTCTAGCGCCATGCTTGTCCAAGGAGGCGAGTCGAGGGCTTCGGCGTGCCGCTGCTAACGCACGCACTGAGGCCGCCTGTCGCGCTGCTTCTTCTTCCTCTGCCCGGACCACTGCCAGCTCCCGAGCCTTCTTTTCCGCACTCCGCAGATAATAACGGGGGCCCGTCTCTCCCTCCGCCCCCGCCCCGCCCCCTTCC